CCCCCCCCCCAATCTTGTTCATGCAGATAGTGGAGAGAGAGAATTAAGTTGTGCAAAGAGATGTATGCCAGCCTCCAGGTGGGACCTAGGGATCCCCTGTAATTACACCTTATTTCCAGAGTACAGACTACAGAAATCTGTTCCCCTGGGGTGAAATGGCTGGTTTGGAGGGTGGACTCTATGGCATTGTACCCCACTGTGGTCCCAGTCCTCCCCAGGCTCCACCCCCAAATCTGCAGGAGTTTCCCAGCCTGGATCTGACAACCGTGCCCTCCCATTCTCTGCCAGTGGCCAGGTCCCCCAATTAGCCACAGATCTTTGCTTATTGACTTACGTTGCATACACTGGAGCAAGGATTCCTATATCTCCTTGGATCCCCAAACATTGAAGTCTAAATGGAGGGCCTTTTGGAATAACATCTTTCCAAAATGATATGGCAGGTATGGGGTTGGGGTGGGGGTGTCGAGGCCAGAAAGATGCCTGCCTGCTCTTTTATGTCTCTCTCTCCACTTCCTTCCTTCCATTTCCAAACCACACCGGGATCCTCGCCGCTCACATTGCAAGCCACACCTCAACGTCTCATGGGAATCCAGCAGAGCCAAAGAGACCTGCGGAAAGCAAAGAACCAGGCTGGCTTCCCTTCCCTTCCAGTGGGGAACGGGGCGAGAGAGGGAGGGCAACACAGAAAAGTCCTTCCCTCGCATGCCTCACCTCCTGCTCAACTCTCCATGGACTTTTCTAGGAATTGGCGAGCCAGCCTCACCATCGGTTTTAACCCTTTCGAAGGGGGAGAGTTAGTGGCCTCCAATCAAGAAGGGGTTTTCTTATGGACACACTGAAAGACCAGACAGATTTCTGGAGGAGGTTGCTTGCAACAAAATGGTTCGGCAGGTGTCTTGGGGGCATATACACAATGGCTGCTGCAGAAGGCAGAGCCACGTACACACAGAGGAAATCCAAGTGCAGGAGAGAAGAGGGGTAATTTAAAAGATACACAGGGAAAGAAGAGTGAAAGAGAATACAATCAACACTGTGACAGCTGCTGCTTTTCAGGCTAGCCCCGAATTCTACATGGCCACTATTGAAAAGGTAGCAGCCAGCCAAACACCTTGGGAAAACTCTCTGGGCGACATGGATGCACCCAGAGGAGAACGGCGCGCAAAAGTGAGGACTGCCCTCCCCAGCCCAGTTCCCTTACTTTGAGGAGATTGTGTGCTGCCCTGTAGCCGGCCTCTGGTCCACCCCCAACACCAGGAGGCAGCCGAATTCTAGATGGACACTGTCAGAAAGGTAGCAGCTGGCCAAATGCCTTGGGAAAACTCTCTGGGTGACACGAATGCGCCCAGGGGAGAATGGCATGCAAAAATGAGGACTACCCCTCGCCCGGTTCCCTTACTTTGAGGAGGTTGTGTGCTGCCCTGTAGCCGGCCTCTGGCCCGCCCCCAGCGCCAGGAGGCAGCCGGCTGGTGGCGTAGCCATGCCAGGTCACAAGATAGGGGCTGTTGACGGTGAGCCATTAGCGCACGTGGCAGCCGAAGCTCCTGAAGCAGAGCTCGGCATAGTCCGAGAAGCACTCGACCAGCGCCAGGCTCTCCCAGCCACTGTGGGTGTCCTACAGGGGCTGGGGCAGGTCTCAGTGGCATAGAATGACCACAGGCTCAATGCCGCGGGCCTTGAGGCTCTCCCAGAGGCTCCCGTAGAACAGAGGGCAGCGGGGTTGATGGGTGCCGTGCCGTGGGGGAGGAGGCATGCCCAGGCCAGCAAGAAGCAGTAGTGGGAGACGCCCAGGAGCCGGAGCCCGTCACACTCGCACGGTAGCCATCGAGGAATGCTACACGTGCTGCTTCGCACTCCTGTTGGGGGTGGGGCTTGCTGCCTACGCCGCTGCCAGAGCACCGCTCCTGCATGCTCCAGGTCGAAGTGACCCCTGCTTTGTCCATTAAAAGTAGAGTTTTTTTTCCAGAAATGGCCCAATGAGGGCTGAGCACGCTTATTTCCATTAAGAACAATTCAGAGTCAGTTAAAGGGGAAAAGAAATCAATGAATATGATGACGGAATACAGCTGTTCAAATTCCTAATAACTTACAGTATTCTAAAAGGGGAGATTTGGGTTACAGGGGAATTACTCCACTTGTGACATCATTTGTCCCTGTTTTATTTTTCTGGCACTGAATTTCATGATATATGTGGGCCATGGGGTTGCGAAGAGTCAGACTTGACTGTAAACAACAACAACAAAGTAGGACAGCAAAACACAGCTCCCAAAAGACAAGATAAGGGTTTCTATATATTCAGGGAACTTTCTGGGAATGTAGAAAAGTATAATTTTGTAAATTAAAGGAGAGACCACCTTCACCCCACACCCAAAACAGCATGATGAGGATTGCCCATTAACTGGCCTGCTCAAGCTCATAATATTTTTAATACTCTGGAGTGGCAAATTTTAGTTAGGGGAAATTTCACAAAAACGTCTCTCTCCTCCCCACATCCCCACCACTGACTCCTTGCCATTTTCCAACTGGTACTATATTTTATAGAATTATTCAATACATTCTAAATTTTCTTCAGATCTTTCCCATCCAAGTTAATTGCCCCTCAGTTTTCAGGTCTCTGAACACTTCTGAAACTTGAAAAATTGGTTTTACCATGAAGGTTTTTGGTTCTGCCTGTCACAGGGCTGCTAACCCCAAGTGTTCTAAAACAACTCAGTTTTATCTGTATTTTACTCTGATTTCTGGGCCTCTAGGGAACACTGCTGTCCCATGCTTACCTGCTTTAAGCACAAAGTTTTTTAAAAGAAGTAAAGATTTAGCTCTTCTACTTGGCAGTGCAGGAGAGCTCCTGTTTTGTTGATTCCTTCTTTCTCCTCAAATCTTGTTTCACAATTCTTGACTGATCTTGCCTTCCCTGCCATTACAGATGAGGGGATGTTATTTAAACCCTCACACAGACACATCATTTTTCATTCCCCCCGCCCACTCACCCACTGTTTCC